CTCTGGTTCGCAGTAGCTCAGGAACTTATTCTTTTTCCGGCCTTCAGAAAGGCCCATAAGGTCATTGGCTTCGAGGAAGCAATCGAACCTCATCATGTAGGATTCCCAGTGCTTGGTGGCTGGGTTGTACGGAGTCGGTGGGGCATGCGTTGTCATCTTGTGTTCCTGAAGGCGTTTGAATTTGCCACTCAAGGATGGCTGCTCGATGCCGTGCCATGCTCTGGGCTAGTTTGACTTGCTGGATTGTCGTGCTCCTTTTTGTCTGCCTAGTTGCCTTCCAATCCCATCCTTGTCACCAGTGTTAGATCGGGTGAATGAAGGCACAGTCAGGCTTCAGAGTAACAAACAGCTCTTTATTAGCACAAGTCAACTATGTACAATCCAGCAAAGATTCAGTCTGACAGCAGCCCTTTTTACAGGGAGCTGTCAGACCCTTTGACCAATCAGATTGAATCTCTGTGAACAGAGGACCTTGGTGTAAACCATTATCAATGTTTCTGGTATCTAACAAAACTGATTCTTCTTTTCCTAACTCAGATGTTGCAATTATCTCTAACCAGACAGTTAAAATCTGCAACAGTCATTGGCCCTCCAGCTGATCATAAAATCAACAACTTGGAAGTGATCTAAGATGTTTTGCAGCCATTCCCTTATTCAGGGAAGAATTTGCTAAAGCATTTAGACAGGTATTATCCATCTTCTGTTTAAAGATCTTTAATGACCACACCAGTATACTGCTGGTTGATAACTCTTGAATTACTGCTTAATAAAGTCAACTATTTTCAGCCACACAGGTACACTTTCTCCAAGGTAATCTGCCTCAACCTGACCTTTTAAGATTCTTAATGGTGCAGTAATTGCTATTGTAACGTAGTCCCTCAACCTTGTTGTTGGATGTCCCCTTTTTCTCATTTCTCCCACTTTTTCTAGCATTATGGATTACTCAGTTGTCTTTGCATTATGTGTCAGAATATGATAGTTAAAGCCTGGTCATTTTCACCTCAAGTGATCATTCTGTGTTTATTTCTTCTATGAACCATTTGTTTATTTGCTCACCTCTGTGAGCTAGATGGTTTTTTTAAAAACATTTGATTAAATAAATAAACACACAAATAAATAAATAGATTTTTAAAGTTATTCACAGTAGTCTGAAAGATATTTTCTAATGCCAAATGTCAACAGTGTTGATACTATTTCTATTCTGTTCTTCAAAGTCCAACTTTTGCATTTATAGATTATCAAAGGGAAAAGTAAAATCAGCAAAGTTCAAAACAAAACAAATAAATAAATACCCCCAGCATGTAATACTAAAAGAACATTCATAAAACAAAATGTAAAATGGATTCCAACTTTCGTAATGATTCTCCATAATTGGAGGCTTTTCTAGAATCAATGAACCAGATACTAACTTAGTTTTGATATTTTTGCCTTTCTCTGTTATCTGGAATGCATCACAATATGGTCTCTCATTCTTTAGCCTTTCTAAAAACCATCTTGAATATCTGCCATTTGTTTGTCCATGTAGAGTTCTAAAGCTGTATTGGATGAGCATAAGTATTATTTTGCTAGCATATAAAGTTAAGAATCTTATGTGGTAGTCTTCACAATCTTTTCTGCTACGTTAGAATATTTACTGATTCTTCTATTGCTTGCCATATCTTCAGTTCAGTTCAGTTCAGTTCATTAAACTTGTATGCCGCCCTATTCCCAAAGGGACTCAGGGCGGCTAACAAACCAATAGGGAATGGGGACAATACAAAGAAAACAGACAAGACAAAAATACAGAAAACAGGTTAAAAAAACTTCTCAACAGCCACAACAATTCGAGTGGGGCTGGGAACTCATCAGCCCCAGGCCTGCCGGAACAGCCAGGTCTTAACGGCTTT